TTAATATAATTGAGGCCTAAGAATTAGAATAATATTAGAGCCTCGAACCCGGGCAACGCCGGGTCCTAAGAGCTAGTAAATATCTATACGTAGTTATACGTATTTTTTTTTTAAAAAAAAGATTAAAAAGGAAAATTCCCATCCCTTTATTAGACAATTGTACTACACATATTGCGTGAATTTAAAAATTTGATGGCGATACTTGCCATTTTAGAAAATTCGCAGTTACGTTTTCTTGATATTTATATTAAAAATAAATCAAAAACGGAGTTTTTGGTATTACTTGAGAGTTCGTTATCGCTATGTTCTAAACAATGACAGTGGCTTTGATTTGTAAAAAAAAGGCTCAAATATTTATCAAATTCAACATTATCAAAAATTTTAAAACTATTTGAAATAAATCGGAACTAGAATCCATTTTTAATGAAATTTCATTCTAACAACACTAAATGTAGTTATTTTCGTTCGAAAATACTGTAGTTGTAAAATTATCAACAGTTTGAGCCTGAAATCTTACTATATATACATGGTGTGTTATATAATTCTGTAATTGTAAATAATCAAATTCTTATTTACAAATTTAGATTAAAGGAATTGTAATACCGTTTTAAAATATCTATGATGATTCAGAGCGCATTACCGAAATTTACTTTACACTTGATCTAATTTAGGCTTATATTTGATTCCTTCTAGTAGTCCCTTATAAAATAATATTCAATATTTCGGCCGACATAGCTCTACCATTTGTCGTTCTTTGGCGTTACGCCAAACCCCTCCTTTCTTCAATTTTACCCGTTTCGTCGAAATCGATGGAAGGTAATTACTAGAGTGAATTGCTTTTTCAAAGATTTGATGTATAGTTGGCTTTTCCTAAAAAAAAAATAAAAAATTGAATAGAAATTCAAAAGACACCAGAACTAATAGTTAACTGGGGACGGGAAAAGCTTCACCTTGAATTTACTGAACAAGGGAAGGGGTCTCTCGAGGAGACGACTTTAAAACAATTGAAAGAACGACTAAAGGAGATCACCGGAGTGCCAATAAATGGGCAAAAATTAGTTTTTTCAGGAGGTAAAAATTTAATTTTTTTAACTAATTTAAATTAAAGAGAAATTTTAACATAGTGAAATTAATCATTTAAATATTAGCCATAATGAAAGATGAAACGGCAACTTTAGCATCATTTGGATTACAACCATTTTCAAAATTGATTTTAATGGGATCAAAACCAAATGTAAAGTTTTATTACCTTTAATATTCATTTTCATCAAATAATTCAAAAATAAATAGTATAATATTTATTAAACTTTTTATTTAATGTACAATTAATTTAGGCCAAAGATTTGGCACAGACAACATCTGGATCATCCGAAGAGCATGCACTTATAGCGCGCATTACACAATCGGTCGAAAAAACAAAGGCAAATTTAGTTCCACAAATAGAATCTTTCGAAACTTCCGTGGCTACTTACTTATCGTCTGAAGATAACGATGATACAGTCAAATCAAAACTTACAGAAGCTCATCATTGCATTGTTGAAACATTAATGCAATCCATTCTTACGCTGGATTCAGTTGTTTGTCCTCCAGAATTTGAGACTGCTAGACAAAAGCGGAGAGAGGCTGTTAAATTTACTCAAGGATTGATCGATCGAGTAGATGAAGTAAAAGCGCAATTGTCGCAAAAAAATCAGCAAAATATAACTGTGTCAAATGTGTCAAATGCAGCTTTATAATCTTGATTAATTTTTCCGCTAATTTAACTATGTGAGATAGATGTTTAGGTTACATTTTCATGTAAAACCAATTAGGGTATTGGAGTTTGTTATGTAATGTTATTTTTTAATAGAAGGCTCACTGTCATGTAAGACATATTAGTGTAAATGTATAAACAAAAAATATAATTAAATATAATTAAAATACTCTGTCTATTCACTCTAAAAAATAAATTAGATGACTAGATTTATGTTTATTACATTCACGCTGTTTATTTTTTACTGAATAACACGTTTAGGTAACTAATTAACATAAAACGATGAGGTAATTCAATAATAAAAATTAAAAAGTTGAGGTAATTATATTCAATTAATAAACATTAATTACATAAAACAACTTATCAAACTAGGTAGTATCGTACATTAATAATTAGAGATTATCCCTCCGAAAATGTATTAAGTATTATATTTAGAAAATATAATTCTAATTAATTATTTCCATCCTCAGCTTCAATAACTTCCTTCGTAATCTTTACTATAAGGTCAAGTGCCTTGTCTATATGTTCTTCGTTGGTCCACGGACTTCCTACAGCAAACCTTATAACGAATTGATCATTTAATTTAGTATGTGTTAAATAAATTTTTGAGATTCATTTACACGATTATAAACTTTTTCTGAGTTCATTGGACGTTTTACGTGATTTTTCATTAGGAATGACATGAAAACAAACAAGTGCAAAAGCTTGTTCCACTGAGATGGCAAAAAGGTCGGAATGTTTTGATAAAAGTTTGTTTTGAAAATGGTTTGCTAGAGCTATCGACTAGGGGTCTGCAAGTGGGCATGCCAGGCATATTGGCACCAGGCCAAGCACTAGTGCCTCATGCCATGCCCATGCCTA